AAACTATACTGCTTTTTGACCAAGACGCACGAATTTACAACCAAGTCGCGGAGTGTTTCGTGGACAGCGTTTCGTAATTCTCCCTAAAGCTAGCTCAAAAGCTGGACATCGAAGTCAAACAATACCCAGAACCGCTATCAGTGAAAATTGGACACAACCAACGCATCACAATCCCGCGCAAGGAAGCTGTTCTTACCGTTAATATCGAAGGCTTTCCCGAGTACACGTCGTCGATGTACGTTATGCCCATTCTAGAGGACAAAAACGCGCTACTTGGATGGCCATGTCTTGAGCAAGTGAACCCGGATATCGACTGAGAGAGCCGAACAATATCATCCCGCAGCGATGCCCAGTCGTCCACAGTCCCCTTTCCACAGTGCTTACGACATGCTCCAGCCCGTAGGATCGGCTGTCAACACCACAGAAATGGTCGCTCTACTTGTGAGGACGATGCTCTCCAGTACGTTTACATGCATCATGATTCCGACAGTGCACAAGGATTACTCGTGTTGTAGCAGCCAAAGCTCTGAAAAAACTACTGCGAGAAGAAGACAATGAATTCTGCTTCGGGATTCAGCACGATACTGACAGCGATAAACCAGGCCGGCAATTAGCTCAAGCCTTGGACGCACTTCGTGGCCACCCCGCCGAATCACTCCTGCTCAAGTACAAAGACGTCGGCATCCGAACCCAGCTTCCTACAGTACCCCCAACGCGTAGCGTGGACATCAAAGCCGAAATCGAACTGGTGGACGATGAAACTGTAGCGAGAAAGCAGTTCCGGCTCAGCGAAGAAATGAACACCGCAATTCGTGAGTGGACAGCAGAAATGCTTCAAGCTGGCATTATTCGGCGTTTGAAATCACTTTACTCAGCTCCAACCTTTTTGCGCTAAGAAGGCCGTGGGATGGCGAGTAGTTCACGATTTCAGAGGCATCAACGCCAAAATTCGACTTTCAGCTACGCCAATTCCGCAGAAGGAAGACGTTTTCGACTCCATGCGCAAAATCAAGGTTTTTCATCCATGGACCTTTTGTGGAGATTCTTTCTGGTGCGCTTGGGGAAACAGGACGTACCGTATACAGGGTTTTCGACACCTGACGGATAGTTCGAATATTTGGTGACTGCCATGGGCCTCTCGTGTAACCCTGCAGCATTCAATAGCCTGATTCAGAAAGTCTTTGCCGATCTGAGCAGCTTCTGCAAGGCATATTTCGACGACTTGTTTGTCTACACCGAGACAAACGATATGGGTGATCACCTTGTTGCCCTAGAAAAGGGTTTGAGAGGGACAAGGACAAGCATGTGTACACCAAGCTGTCGAAGTGTTCATTCTGCGCCTCGGAGATACCTGGTCTAGGCGACTTCATCGGAATCCATCACCCCGACAAGGTGAGAATGATCCAGAAAGGGCAAAAGCCTCACACGAAGTGTGAACTACAGTCGTTCCTCGGCACTTGAGTATATGTGCTCAAGTTCTGTCCAGACCTCACAGAGTATCCGGCAAAAATGACAAGAGGGAAGACTCGAAATGAACAACCCCAGTTCAACGAGTTGCACCAAACGTGCTTTGAAGAGCTCAAGCGCAGACTCCCCAAGCCTCCCTTTCTAGTCCATCCCGACTATGACCGAATGTTTTGCGTGAAAATGGACGCATCTGACTTTGCCATCGGTGGCTACCTGTACCAATTCGACGACGAAGGCGAAGAGTGAGTTTTTGCTAATGGCGGCAGAAAACTCAGCGAGCCAGAGCTGAAGTATCCAACGCGCGAAAAAGAACTTCTCGCAGATCTGTTTGTCATGCGCATTTGGCATGTATATCTCTTCGACAAGCCGTTCATAATCAGCACGGATCATCGCACGCTCGAAACTATCCTTCAGCAGAAGACGTGATCTCAACGGCTCGCAAGATGGTTCAACGAGCTTGGAATGTACCAACCACTTTTCAAATGAATCAAATGAGACTCTAACGTAGTGGCTGACGTCATCTCTCGAAATCCCAGCTGGAAGCATGACAAGTGTAGTGGGCCTAGTGCTCACTACCTAGCTTACACGTGTGCACACGTGTAGGAGGAAGCGTAGGTTTCCCTAGATAGTATAGTGTATACACGATACGTGTATACAGTAAGACTATATAGAAACTAGATAGCGTAAATTGAAAACTGTTTATTGTTGTTATGCGTTTCTTTCCTATTTGTTCCCTTCCTAAACCGATTACCTAATATCTAAGGGACTATCAGCGAGTGGCTGACAGTTATCCGCATCGCTGATTGGTAGAAGCGTGGCGCACTCTACCAATAGGATTGTTCTATATGCAATCTTGGTGTGTCCACACATCAAGACAGGAAACCTTGAACTCTAACCGGTTAACGTTTCGGTTAGAGTTTTGTGTAACCACGTTACACCCCCCGTTAAGATTTGACGTGCTGGTCTCAACACGTCAATCCAAGCTTCGACAAGTTCGTCAAACCTTCGAGAGAATTCTGCGCTCATTTCGGAATGAGCGCTGCCAAGCAAACACCAGCGTCCTCGCCAGTGTCCGCGTCGACCGTAGCGTCGACGCCAACACCTGTGCTGACGTCTGCGTCGACCTCAGGGTCGACGCCTGTGGTTGATTCCTCATCGGCGCCTACTTCTCCGCACGTGCCGGCGGTAACGCCGACACCTTCGGGTGCAACGACAGGGAAGAAATTCTCTGTCGAGAAATACTACGAGGTTCAGGATAAGAAGCTCGAGCTCAGAGCAAAGCAGCGCGCTGAAGCTGCTAAGCAAGATAGTCCTAAGACTATCTTTGATGGGTCATCGGTGCTCTCAACCGGCGGTGGCATCCCCGTGGACTACGAGGATGGATAACTTGAAGACGAGGCCACCTCGTCTTCCCAGTCGCATGAGTTAAAACGCGCGGCTGGGACTCGCCGTCCTCGTGAAGACGATTCGGACACTTCCTCGTCGAAGCGTCCGCGAAGCGAAAGTGATGCAGTGCCTTCCGGACTGGAAGCACTTGCCATCACCTCCAAGTAGCGTAATGCTACGCGCACTGACGACACAGTTCGCGAACCCTGGATGCCGTCTGAGAGGGTCATCAAGGATCGGTATGGGGCTATTGTTGCCCCAAACCCAATACCGCTGTACGTCGACACCGAATTGTTGACGATGCTGAGGCTGCTGTGAAGCACCTCGAGCCGGGGACAGTTCAAAGGCGAGATTATTACATCTCGCTCTTTCACGAGCTCCGGCATTGGAGCTCGAAGAAGACTTCGGGACGAAGCGATGTGCCCGAGTGGCAGGCACTTTGTCAAAGTTGGAATCAGTTCGTTACGAACTTTAACAATACCGCGAGCGGATCTCTTCCGCTCGTGAGCGCTTCGCGAAGTATTCTGTTACTTCTGCCGTCCAGCGCGTTCACGAAGCTTCTGTGAACGCGAAGATTCCTTGTGCAGTGCTGGAGGGCGTTCATTGCCCGCACTGTCCCGTTGGTGCTCCTCGTGTCGGTGAAAGAGACTTCACCGGGTACACGAGTAGTCGTGTACCCGCAAACATTAAGGAGCTACGTGCTCAACTTGTTTGCACGCGTCAGCATCCTAGTGTTGTGACGGAGCACTACACTCCGCGTAACACTGCACCCCGCAGTGTTACGCCTCCAGTCCGTGGTGGGCTTCGTACGCCATCACCATTTCCGGAACGTCCGTCATCAGGAAACCACGTATCTCGAAGGAGAGCCGATTGTCTCCAACGAATACGAAAACGAACCGGACCTCGGTTCGTCTTCGGACTGGTGTGGTCAACAATCCGATCCACCTCGCGGTGGATCGTACCGCGGACAGAGTTATGCTTATGTCGGCGGTGCTGACCTCTCGTCGCATGGTCAACCCCGAGTTGACCACAGTCATCAGGCGCGCGTGAAGGCTCTTGAGGATGTTCAAGCTGTTCAGTTCGATGCGCTGAAGCAAGAGCTGCACTTGCGGAATGCCTGCATGTGCGAAGCCGCTCAGACCGTCTCGAACATTTGTGTTCAGGTGTTCGAAAAAGTTCGCCTTCTCCAGGAGAAGGTGAAGCGGCTTGAGGAGAAGCTGAGTCGTCGTCGGCGATTCATCATGACTAGATGACTCGGGCTGCACGTATGGTTTCAATCGCCCAACGTAGAATGTTGGGTGAAGTCTCATGTCGGAAGGAAGCTCCAACGTGTACGCGCTGCCGTGACGTTCTGTCACCGTGAACGGTCCAATGAAGCGCGGAGCAAGCTTGCTTGTTCCGAATCCAGAAGTTGCATGAGTAGGTAAGTTTTGATTTGATAACCAAACTAATAAACCAATTGTGAATTCATTTATATTACCTCTTCCTTTATTGTCTTCGTTCAGCTTCTGTCTATCCGCAGAAGCTGTGCTGCAATTGCATCTTGTACAAAGCGAACGACTGCTTGTCGTTCGTGGACAAAGTCCATTGCTTGAGAGCTGAACCCCGGGTCCAGTTCGTTGGTCTTGTCCGCGTCTGTGCCCTGCACAGACACGCCACTTGTAGTCGCATCAGTCCCAGACTGTGCGTGGCTCTTTGGGGTGTCAGTGCCGGGCACTGACACTTTGTGTGTGATTGCAACAGGCTCAGCCTGTGCGTGAGTCTTTTCGGTGTCTGTGCCCCGCACAGAGCACAGACATGTTGTCTCTGGTCGCAGCAGGTTTCGCCTGCTTGTGGTTCTTCGCAGTGTCAGTGCCCGGCACTGACACGTCGTTTTGTCGTGTGCGGGCTCTCGCTCTCGCACGTGTCATCGCAGCTGATAGGTTCGTATCAGCTGAATTCTGCGGTTGTTTGGGTGCAACCGTAGATCCTCCCCCACTTAAAGAGGAAGGCACCGCCCCGAGGGTACTCGGAAGCCGTGGATGCCGCATGGCGTTCACGTAGAACGGTGTATGTCCCGTCGAGGCATGCACCGCGTTTTTGATGGAGAACTCGGCCATCGGCAAGTAGTCGCTCCAGTTGTTGAACGACTGGGCGTAGCTTTTCAGTTAGTCTACGAGCACGCGATTCACGCGCTCGGTTTGCCCGTCCGTCTGCGGATGATCCGCAGTCGACATGGAGAACCGTGTTCCAAGAAGTGTGAACACTTCTTGCCAGAAACGCGCCTTGAAGCGTTGGTCTCGGTCCGACACAAAGTCGGTGGGCATGTCATGGTGTTCAAACACTGTGTCTACGAACAGACGTGCCGTCTGTACGGAGGTCACCTCCGCTGCGACAGCAGCGAGATGCACCATCTTGCTGAAGCGGTCCACAAAGACCACAATACCAGTCTTCCGCCTGGAATCGCGCGGAAGACCAAACACGAAGTCCATCGGGATGAACTCCCAACACTCCGACATCAACTCAGTTGATGTCGGCTGTCTTGACAGCGTAGTCCGGTCGTCGCGATAATGCGTCCGCGACGACATTCAACCTTCCGGGTTTGTACTCGACCCGGAAGTTGTACTCCGCAAAGAAGGACAACCATCTCGCCATACGAGATGTGCGGAGACTTCACAGCCGTCCGCAACGACGCGTGGTCCGTATAGACCACGAACGGCGTGTTGCCGAGCAAGTACACTCGGAACTTTGCGAGTGCATACTTCATGGCAAGGAGTTCCTTTTCATGCACTGGGTAGTTTCGCTCAGTTGGCTTCAGCTGACGCGACTGATAATAGACGGCTCGATCCCGGCCCTCGTGATCGAGTTGCATTAACGCACATCCGATCGCAAAGTCGGATGCGTCACACACTACGTGAAAGGGACGATCTTGGTTAGCCACCGCAAAGCTCGGCGCTTCAGTCAAGCATTGCTTGACTGCATCGAATGCCTGCTGACACTCAGCAGTCCATATCCACGCAGCTTCCTTCTTCAGGAGCTGCGACAGCGGGCGAATCTTGCCTGCGTAGTTTTCCACGTACTTGCACAAGTACGTGGCAAGGCCAAGGAATTGCCGCAGTTCCTTCACGTTGGATGGCGTAGGCCATTCATTGATCACTCTGACCTTCTCGGAGTCAGGGCGTACGCCGTTCTTCCCAACGAGACACCCTAGCACGGGTATCTCGCTTGCACCGAAGATGCACTTGTTCAGGTTCGCATAGAGCTTGTGCATGAACCCAAGCAGATGTCGGAGATGCTCCTTGTGCATCTCTATGTCCGTCTTGTCGTTCAGAGCCGGCTGTGAACGTACACATCGTCGAAGTAGCTCGGTGCGAAGTCGCGCACCGAGCGCAATAGATGCGTGACGCATCTATTGAAGGTCGCAGGGGCGTTCTTCAGTCCTTGCGGCATTACTAGCCACTCCCAAAGCATACCGCTTGGGGTGCTTACCGCCGTGAGAGGAATATCACTCTCACGCATCAGGATCTGATAGAATCCGTCTCTCAGATCAAGAGCACTGTAGATCGTGCTCTTGGACATCGAATCGATGATGACATCTTTTCGAAGTATCGGTGTCTGCGCCGGTATCGTCGCATCGTTCAGCTTGTTGTACGCATTAACGATGCGCCAGCCAGCCTGTGACTTCTTGACACAGAACGTTGGTGCGCTGTGCGGGGACTTCGATTCCCGCACTTGTCCTGCCTTGCGACGACTTTCGAAGAAGTCGTCGATTGCCTTCACTTGCTCCCGCGGCAGTGGCCACTGCCGCGTCACACAATACTTTGATCCCGGCACGAGATCAATCTGGTTCTGTATTCCCTTGTTCCGCGGAAGCTCCGCAGGGATCTCGACCGGGAGGACGTCCTTGTGCTCTCGCAGAATCTCGTAATAGGGACTCGACTTCAGTGAGTCCCAACTTTTTTCCTCGAAGCGCTCCTTCTTGGTCATATCACTGAGAGTATCCTCGCTCTCAGTGGCGCTTCCTGCGATGAGTTGTCTCAACACTTCCGCTTCGCTTGTCATTCTTTCGCGTTCCGAAAGAATGCATAGCTGTTCGATGCGTCCATCGTACAGATCCTTTGCGAAGCGCTTCCAGCTCATGACTGGAAGCGAGGTCAACTCCGACGCATTAGTCGGAGGGTTCTCCAACTCCATCTTCTGGTACTGATACCCAGTACTGGCCCCCGCCCAAACGGTCCACCG